TCTACCTTGGTAATAACATTAGTAAAATAATATACAGTCCCAGGGGAGCATTAAATTAAAGTTTAATACATTTGTTAATGTGTTAAGCATCTTGCCATAAATACTGACATGTATACTGTAAGCATTTATGTGATTACAGAATATGAGTACTGCACAAGCATTCTGTTAAGTATCTCAAAAGTAATATTATAGGAATGAGAAATGCTGACAGTTGAGAAGCAAGATGCATTGTATGAATGCACAGAAATCATTTCAATCTACAATGTTGATAATTATGAAATGCATTACCCACATAAAGAGAGAAATGATTGAAAGCTACATTTGTGAAGATCAAACAGCTGGTGTCAATATACAAAGCTACATTAGTCATGTCATTTTCAAATATAGCTGCACATGCATGAATAATTAATAAAGATGAATAAATACTAAATCACAATATGTATATGACACAGATGCTATTTTTTGCACTAGATGTACCACTTTGGAGAACTTGAAAGAGAAATTATTCTACCCATGCAGAAATAAGATTTTTGTTTGCACTTGGAAATAATTTACCCATTTTTCTATACTTTAATTCATCAAAAATACACTCAAAAAGTCTACAGAAAAAATTAATTCAAGCAAAATAAAGTATTTTGCAATAAAAAAACAATTCCCACCACGATAGTTTCTGTCGCACTTATTTGTTTTTATGGTATCAACGGGCCGCTCAAGTGCCTATGGACGATCTTTTGCAGTGGGTAATGTTTCAGATAAATACAATAAAATACAGTATATTTTGATTACCTCTATTATTTGAGCACATACATTACTAACAGAGCAAATACTGTAAATGTAGTTATGTTATCGCCACTTGTTTTACAATTTTAAATGTGATCTACAGACCTTTCCTTTCTTCAAGGCTAGTGATACTGAGCAAAATTACGCCAATACATTTAGTTTTTTTTTTAATTAAACATCATACAAAATTAGATCAATTCTCACTGCCCAGCTATTTTCAAAAAGCAAAGCCTATATCTAAGAATGAAAATAAATGTACAATCAAGAAATGCAAGACTGATTTTCTAAGATATCACATGCTTCATGTCCACATATTTATTTCACAATGACAAGCATTTCATTTTATTCTTTTGTCTGTTATGAGAACATTTTAAGATATGTAGAATACATATAAAATATAAAAAACAATGGCAGTTTTTTACTGGGAAAACTACACAAATTACTTTGTACTAGGGCAATTAATGACAAAAATATGATCTTTCGGTGAGCACACCAATAATTAAATGTTGCACATGTATTATGCATTCTATAAACAACAAGTAACAAGGACAGTAAATCGATGAATTTTAGCTTCTAGGAATTTTTTGATAATTTAATGTTATTTCCAAAAACAAAAATATGGAAAGTCACTAACATTTTATGTCAGAAGATCCCCAGTAAAATTTTCACTGCTACAAAATTTCAAGATTTTAAGTCGTTTACAGTACCGGTATGTCAATGGACACAAACTATAGTTTATTTAAAGAAAATAACAGATTAAAACATAAATAGAGTCTTATAATGACGAATTTAGTAGAATCGACAACAATGGTCACAGATAATACCATGTGCCCTAAGGCAAACATGTATGACCTCAACTGAAGGGCAAATTAAAGACTTATCAGGATAAAGAACTCCACATCAACACATCTAAGCCACAGAACAATCAGCTAACAGTGGGTCACCATGAATGCTAAATAGACTGTCTAGCTGAGATATACAAAAAAAAATCAATTTAGAATGAGTTATGTAACATAACAGTATCTTCTGTCAAGGGTTAACCAGGAGACTCAGACTGTTTCTTTCATGATAGGGAGTTTCTTACTTGTTTGTTACATGAATGCATATAAACCAACTCCTATGAAAATAAATGAATATTTGATAATTTACTTTTATGGCTTTCTATATTTTATTGCACACATTGATTTTGTAGTTCATAGATAAAAAAAATAGCTAAATATACCAAATAGGGCTACAATAGAAAAATATTTCTTTGTGCTACATGTAGAATGCAAGTTGATGATTTAAAGGTCACCAGAGGTATTTGAAATTACACAAAAAGTACTGTGACTCCCTGTGCCAAGGACCTCAGAAAATGTTTTCCTGCAACTCTCTGACCTAGGGACCTCAGTAAAATGTTCACTGCAACTCTCTGACCTAGGGACCTCAGTAAAATGTTCACTGCAACTCTCTGACCTAGGGACCTCAGTAAAATGTTCACTGCAACTCTCTGACCTAGGGATCTCAGTAAAATGTTCACTGGAACTCTCTGACCTAGGGACCTCAGTAAAATGTTCACTGCAACTCTCTGACCTAGGGACCTCAGTAAAATGTTCACTGCAACTTTCTGACCTAGGGACCTCAGTAAAATGTTCACTGCAACTCTCTGACTTAGGGACCTCAGTAAAATGTTCACTGCAACTCTCTGACCTAGGGACCTCAGTAAAATGTTCACTGCAACTCTCTGACCTAGGGACCTCAGTAAAATGTTCACTGCAACTCTCTGACCTAGGGACCTCAGTAAAATGTTCACTGCAACTTTCCGACTTAGGGACCTCAGTAAAATGTTCACTGCAACTCTCTGACCTAGGGACCTCAGTAAAATGTTCACTGCTAACAAAATTATCCACAACTCGAATGAATATGTCTTTTGCATAATTAAAATTGTTTATAACACATATTTGAGCAAATACACATGGCATGTATATGTAAAGTAGTACATTATTAGACTAATATGCTTTAGTCTGACAACCAGCAAATGAGTTAGCAAATAAACCTCCAGGTTAATGGATAGCAACAGCTGCACTAAAATAATTGAGGACAATTTTTTGACAAAGAAAATTGGTTATTTATTTCATCTTTTCAATTACACCGTGTAATTAAAGATATGATATACACCTATTATTTACAAACATGTGTCTAAATACTCTTGTTAGATTCTTATTACATTATATTCGTTAAGCCAATTAAGAAGAATACAGGACATAGAGGAAGCCTAGTATGACAAGTGCATGGTGTTGACTACTGTAAATGCATTAATTATTCACTGGGTTTTAATTTCGCTATTATTACTGATAACTAAAATTTGCTAAATTAAATCTACGTGAACAAATTGACAAATTTGTGAAATTAAAACATACTGATTATGCTTATCAAAATAGTGAAAATAAATGGTTTTACAGTATCACATACTGACGTACACAGACGACAATCAACAATCCTTAATGAGTTACGCTGTCTACTCCTTATAAATGACAAAATTTATCATAATTCTGAAAAGATATTAAATATCAAAGAACGTTACACCAACGCATGGAAGAAAAACTATTGAATTATTGAATATTTGAAAACTGACATGGAGATAATGAATGCCCAGTAATATAACTGAATATGCAACTCAGACTGATGAACTTTAAAGACTGTACATGTAATTTTATAATTACATGGGTTGCAGGAATTTCTGACTGGTCACAAGATATATTAAAATTTTATATTAAAAATAAAATACTGCTCTCACTCATAATTGGCAAACAGATATGTCAATCTTGCAACCTTGTTCATGTAAAATATGAAAATTTAATTATGTTTTATTTTATAACTATCATGAATTTTACATGCTCTCATTTTGGAGTAGTACCGTTACCTGTACGGGAGATGTATACCACATGATGCGAGATCAGAATTCTTATAAATTTGAAGAGACTACTTCCCACACTAGTGTCAAGCATAATATCAAATATTGTGGAAACATAGGGCCATAAATAGTAACAAGAATTTAATGTCTATATTTATCAATTTGTTGAATCGTAGTGACAAATTATCACAAAAATTACTGACACTCGACTGTTAAAACAACACTAGTGAATTTTCATAGTTAAAAAGCATTAACACCTCCACCACCAGGGAAACCATAAATACTAGTATTTGTTTTTGTGAACTTGGAGTGGTTACCAGCATTATAACAATGGGAATGTGCAATATCACAGAAATACAGTTGAATACATTTACAGCTGAAGCTTTGTACTGTAGATGAATTAGATCATTGGTAAAACAGAAATATGTACCGGTATATCAACAAGAATACTAACGTCACATTGCACTATAGACAAAATAGTGCTTGAAATTAAGGAGATATTATTTTTTCCAATCATTTTTTATTTTTACAGCCGTGAAAAGTGCTTTAGATAAATATTAATTTAACCCAAATTTCTAAAAATTTATTTTATTTTTACAGTTGTACTTGACATTGAAGCACACAATTCGTCCAAGTTATTTTCTCATAAAATTCAGAGCCTGACGATTTGCGAGGTTAAAAAAATAGCAGAGCATTTAAAATTCTTGCATATCGAAGAAGCACCAAGACAAAAATGGCGATGTGTACAACCTACGTGCCAAAAGTTTAATACTAGCAAAGCAATACAATTTGTACTAGTACGTTTTAGAGGCATTTAAGACACTGATCATAAACGGTAACTTAATTCCTAAAACACAAAATGTCTAGGTAACGGTGATGTCGGAAATAATGGCTACGTTAAACAATGGGTACACGGACGAAAGCATAACAGAGCTTTGTTGAAATAAAACACCGTTTTATTATGTGGAGTAATTTGGTTGTTCAGTTTTCGGCTTACGCATTTAAATTCTTGGCACATTGCGCTTTAAGGGCCAGCCTTAAACTAGCGTTGTTTCAAACAATCGTCACAAACCCATAGCTGCTGGAAATTACCCAGAGCTAGTATAAAGCCCCGTAAAACTAGAGTTATTTTATCAATCGATTTTTCCTGTTCACAAAACTCTCTGGTCGAAATCGAGCTTCGCTCGCAAGACTTTCATTGCTTCGCAACAAGGTACTCTCGCAAGCGCTTATATATGAGGTTGCACCTATAGACGGAGGAGAATGTCAACATTAAAACAGTACAGATTTTCAATAAAATTATAAGATATTAAAGAGAACATTTTACCTGAAAATCTCTTGTTTCATTGAAGCGGGCAAATATGCCAGCCATTTTGTCCGATCTCAGGGTAAACGTTTGTCTGTTTGCAGTTCGGTAAGTCGCTTCTCCAGTAGATATAGGCGTTCATGTGTGAGCGCCTCCAATCAACTGTTACATACATTACCTTTGTTTTTTCAATCTTACAACTGTGAGCCCAGGAAAGTATGTGTAAACAAAGACATTAGAAAAAGATGTCTTTGGTGTAACAAGGTTGATTTTGATATCTTCGGGAATGTTTTCCACATTTAGCAATTAGAACATAAGTAATCATAGTATAACCATGAAATTGCCATGAAGTGTTTTAACTATAGGTAATAGCCAGGATTTGGAAGAAAAGTCCTTTGTTATGGTTATTGCTAACAATGGTAAATTACGACCAAACAAATCTGAATGGCATATATTACATTATTTGTGACTTGAAGGGTCATGCATGCGCGAGATACAGGTCTCATAAGTACAAAGATTGAGACTTTTACTGTTGCGTACAACGAGTACAAACTGAGACGACACCAAGCTTTAGTTAGGGAATTTCTTTGGTGATTGGAAGGTATCAAAGGAGTCACTGGTAGTAATTAGTTCACATGGCGCCAAAGATAAAACTCGTACTTGTGATTTCATTAAAAAAGTGCATTGGATTGTGTCCACACCTGCAGCACGATGACCACGTGACCACCCTTTAACATTTTTATTTTTGAATTTTTTTACCACTTTTGTTTATTCAGTAATTAAAATTGAACGAACTTTTGAGTCATAATTAAATTATCCATTTCAGGTTTTCTAGCTTCAGCATGTTTATTTCAAAAATGTACAAAATGGAGTTAAAATAGGACAGTCTGTTATCGGGGTTTATCATTGTCTTCTATGGCAGGAAAAAATCTTTAAATTTTGGTAAGTGACATACGATGAGAAACTTAAATATACAAATTTATCTGACCCATGAATTGGTTATAAATAAATAATTTATTCAAAACTAAATTGTACAGACAAACAAGAGAAGTTTCAACTTAACTGTTGAGGGCACATGACTATAAAGGCACAAACATTTTCTACTGTACATGTGCTGAGGAACTGAATGGAATCACATGATGTGAACTTGTGAACATTATGAATTTAAATAGAATATTTTCTATGAAATTTTTGCAATTAATGAGTATTACTTTGAACACAATTGCCAAGCTAAACTCTCAAAGACTTCTAATCTCTCATCTCCTCACATCTAATACACATGTAGTATGGTACATACAGCAAAATGTTGAAAATTGTACCTTAGTTGATGAGCGTATTTATAAAAATTGTAAATACCGATCATCAGCTTAATTTTATTGAAATTCAAATATTTAATTGCGATTGGCTCAAAAGCTCAACACTGTCTACGCCCATTATATGCGCACATGTTT